GCACTCCCAACAGATGGCCTTCCAGCCTCTGTTTCAAAACCTTCAGAAGAGTGACTCAATCATCATAATCATTAACATTATTACTATTATCAAAGATGATGGTGATTGACTTCCAAAGTTGGGAAGAGATCACCCAGTCTAACCTATTTCTGCCATAGGAGGACACCATCAAAGCACTCCCGACAGATGGCCACTCAGCCTCTGCTTCAAAACCTCCAGAGGAGCTCAAACATCATCATCATCATCGTCAACATTATTATAATAATTATCAAAGATGATGGTGATTGGCTCCCAGAGGATCAGACTTCATCATCATCATCATCATCATCATCATCATCACCACCACTATTATTATTATTATTATTATTATTATTATTACTATTATAAAAGATGATGGTGATTGACTTCCAGAATTGGGAAGAGACCACCCAGTCCAACCCCTTTCTGCCATAGGAAGACACCATCAAAGCACTCCCAACAGATGGCCATCCAGCCTCCGCTTCAAAACCTCCAAAGGGGGAGACTCCATCATCATCATCGTCGTCATCATCACCATTAATATTATAATGATCAAAGATGATGGTGATTGACTCCCAGAGTTCATCATCATCATCATCATCACCATCAAAGCACTCCCAACAGATGGCCTTCCAGCCTCTGTTTCAAAACCTTCAGAAGAGTGACTCAATCATCATAATCATTAACATTATTACTATTATCAAAGATGATGGTGATTGACTTCCAAAGTTGGGAAGAGATCACCCAGTCTAACCTATTTCTGCCATAGGAGGACACCATCAAAGCACTCCCGACAGATGGCCACTCAGCCTCTGCTTCAAAACCTCCAGAGGAGCTCAAACATCATCATCATCATCGTCAACATTATTATAATAATTATCAAAGATGATGGTGATTGGCTCCCAGAGGATCAGACTTCATCATCATCATCATCATCATCATCATCATCACCACCACTATTATTATTATTATTATTATTATTATTATTATTATTATTACTATTATAAAAGATGATGGTGATTGACTTCCAGAATTGGGAAGAGACCACCCAGTCCAACCCCTTTCTGCCATAGGAAGACACCATCAAAGCACTCCCAACAGATGGCCATCCAGCCTCCGCTTCAAAACCTCCAGAGGAGAAGACTCAATCATCATCATCATCACCATTATTATGCTTAGAGATGATGGCGATTGACTCCCAAGAGTTGGGAAGAGACTATCCAGTCCAACCCGCTCCTGCTATAGGAAGACACCATCAAAGCACTCCCAACAGATGGCCGTCCAGCCTCTGCTTCCAAACCTCCAGAGGAGGAGACTCAATCATCATTGTCATCATCATTGTCATCACCTTTATTATTATGATCAAAGATGATGGTGATTGACTCCCAGCGGAGGAGATTCCATCATAATCATAACTGCCATCACCATTATTATCATTATTATGATTAACATTATCAAAGATGATAGTGATTGACTCCCAGAGGAGGAGACTCCATCATCATCATCATCCCCATTATTATTACTATTACTATTATTACTATTATCGTTATCAAAGATGATGGTGATTGACTCCCAGAAGAGAAGACTCCATCATTATCATCATCATCACCACCACCACCACCACCATTATATTATATTATTATTATTGTTATTGTTGTTATTATTATTATTATTAACATTATCAAAGATGATGGTGATTGACTCCCAGAGGAGGAGACTCCATCATCATCATCATTGTCACCATTATTATTACTATTACTATTATTACTATTATCGTTATCAAAGATGATGGTACTTGACTCCCAGAGGAGGAGAATCCATCATCATCATCATTGTCACCATTATTATTACTATGATCAAAGATGATGCTGATTGATACCCAGAGGAGGAGACTCCATCATCACCATTATTATTATTATTATTATTATTATTATTATTATTATTATTATCGTTATCAAAGATGATGGTGATTGACTCCCAGAGGAGGAGACTCCATCATCATCACCACCACCACCATTATTATTATAATTATTATAATTATTATAATTATTATTATTATTATTATTATCGTTATCAAAGATGGTGATTGACTCCCAGAGGAGGAGACTTCATCATCATCATCATCATCATCATCATCATCATCATCATCATCATTGTCACCATTATTATTACTGTGATACAAAGATGGTGATTGACTCCCAGAGGAGGAGACTCCATCATCATCACCATTATTATTATTATTATTATTATTATTATTATTATTGTCATCAAAGATGACGGTGATTGACTCCCAGAGGAGACTCCATCATCATCACCGTTATTATTATTATTATTATTATTATTATTAACATTATCAAAGATGATGGTGATTGATTCTCAGAGGAGACCCCATCATCATCATCATCATCATCATCATCATCATCATCATCATTGTCACCATTATTACTATGATCAAAGATGATGGTGATTGACACCCAGAGGAGGAGACCCCATCATCACCATCACCATCACTATTATTATTATTATTATTATTATTATTATTATTATTATTATTATCGTTATCAAAGATGATGGTGATTGACTCCCAGAGGAGGAGACTCCATCATCATCATCATCATCATCATCATCATCGTCACCATTATTACTATGATCAAAGATGATGGTGACTGACTCCCAGAGGAAGAGACTCCATCATCATCACCACAATTATTATTATTATTATTATTATTATTATTATTCAACTGTCCAGAGTTGCCTTCGGGCTGAGAAGGGTGGTATATAAGTGTAGTAAATAAATAAATAAATAAGTGATCAAAGATGTTAGTGATTGACTCCCAGGGGAGAAGACTCCATCATCATCATTATTATCACCACCATTATTATTATTATTATTATTATTATTATTATTATTATTATTATTATCGTTATCAAAGATGATGGTGATTGACTCCCAGAGGAGGACACTCCATCATCATCATCATCATCATCATCATCATCATCATCATCATTGTCACCATTATTACTATGATCAAAGATGATGGTGATTGACACCCATCATCGTCATCACCATCACTACTACTACTACTACTATTATTATTATTATTATTATTATTATTATTATTATTATTATCGTTATCAAAGATGATGGTGATTGATTCTCAGAGGAGACCCCATCATCATCATCATCATCATCATCATCATCATCATCATTGTCACCATTATTACTATGATCAAAGATGATGGTGATTGACACCCAGAGGAGGAGACCCCATCATCACCATCACCATCACTATTATTATTATTATTATTATTATTATTATTATTATTATTATTATCGTTATCAAAGATGATGGTGATTGACTCCCAGAAGAGGAGACTCCATCATCATCATCATCATCATCATCATCATCATTGTCACCATTATTACTATGATCAAAGATGATGGTGATTGACACCCAGAGGAGGAGACCCCATCATCATCATCACCATCACTATTATTATTATTATTATTATCATTATCAAAGATGATGGTGATTGACTCCCAGAGGAAGAGACTCCATCATCCCCATCCCCATCACTATTATTATTATTATTATTATTATTATTATTATTATTACTATCAAAGATGATGGTGACTGACTCCCAGAAGAGGAGACTCCATCATCATCATCATCACCATTATTATTATTATTATTATTATTATTATTATTATTATTATTATCGTTATCAAAGATGATGGTGATTGACTCCCAGAGGAGGAGACTCCATCATCATCATCATCATCATCATCATCATCATCATCGCCACCATTATTATTACTATGATCAAAGATGATGGTGATTGACACCCAGAGTTGGGAAGAGACCATCCAGTCCAACCATCGTCTGCCATAGGACAACACCATCAAAGCACATCAAAACCTTCAGAGGAAGAGATTCCACCATCATCCCCATCATCATCATCATCATCATCATCATCATCATCATTGACACTATTATTATTACTATGATGAAAGATGATGGTGATTGACACCCAGAGTTGGGAAGAGACCATCCAGTCCAACCATCATCTGCCATAGGACGACACCATCAAAGAGCATCAAAACCTTCAGAGGAGGAGATTCCACCATCATCCCCATCCCCATTACGATTATTGTCAAAGATGATGGTGATTGACTCCCAGAGTCAGTAAGAGACCCCAAGGGCCATAAAGGAAGACCCCATCCAGTCCCTCCCAGCAGATGACCATCAGATGACCAGCAGGACAACACCATCAAAGCACATCAGAACCTTCAGAGGAGGAGATTCCACCATCATCCCCATCCCCAATACGATTATTGTCAAAGATGATGGTGATTGACTCCCAGAGTCAGTAAGAGACCCCAAGGGCCATAAAGGAAGACCCCATCCAGTCCCTCCCAGCAGATGACCATCAGGAAAAGCATGTTCCTCCATGAAGTCCATCCCTTGAGGTGAGAAGGACGGGGTAGAAATGCCCTAAATAAATAAACAAAGAGCTCTTCCAGCTAGGAAGTTCTTCATAATTTGAGTGGCATCTCCTTCCCAGGGCTGTATGGTGTCCTATCCTCTGGGGCATCCTTTCCAATCGATTCCAACCTTTGATATCAAGCCTACCTTTCCTCCAAGCCTTCCCATCTCCAAATCTAGGATCATGTTGGGTTCCTCCTGCAATTGCTTTGCCCCAGAACTGGACACCTCTTTCCCAGGGCTGTATGGTGTCCTATTCTCTGGGGCATCCTTTCCAATCGATTCCAACCTTTGATATCAAGCCTACCTTTCCTCCAAGCCTTCCCATCTCCAAATCTAGGATCATGTTGGGTTCCTCCTGCAATTGCTTTGCCCCAGAACTGGACACAACAACCAAGCAAGCAAGCAAGTCTTTGGATCCCAAGTGAGCAAAGCAGGAGAGAATGAATGAGAGGACTGGCTTCTCTAGGGATGCAACCCGCCCTTGCTACTCACCTGGGGGGTCTTCCTGCTCTTCTCTTCTTGGGAGGAGGATGCAGAGGGGTCTTCACTTGCCTCCAGTACCTGGTCCCCTTCCTTTTCCTCTTCCTTTTCCTTTTCCAGGCGCCCTTTGGGCCCCCTTCCTCCGGCAAAACATGAAAAGAGATGGTGGGGGGAGATGCAAATCTCTTTGAGGGGGGGGGGGACAGACAAAAAAGAGGCTTCCCCAACCTCTCTTCTCTTTCTCTCTCTCTCTCTCTCCCTTCTTTCCTCTGGCAGATGCGCCCAGGCTCTGGCTTTGGAGAAGATGCTGCTAGCTCCACCCTGGGAAAGAGAGAGAGAGAAAGAGAGGGAGGGAGAGAAAGAGAGAGGGAAAAGGAGGGAGGGAAACAAGCAAAGCAAAGCAAGCAAAGGACCGCGTGCTGCTCCTGCATTGAAGCAGGCAGGGGGGGAGCAGGGGGGGAGCAGGGGGGGAGCAGGGGGGGTTGCTCTCCTCCTCCAACTCCCTCCTTTTATTTAAAGGACCCCCTTTGGTCCTCTTCTCTTCTTTCCAAGCATCCTCTTTGCAGCATCCCCAGGAGGACCTTGGTTCTCATAGAAAAGGGAAGGATGGAGGTCTTGCTTTCCTCAAACTACGGCCCGGGGGCCGGATACAGCCCTCCACGGTCATTTACCCGGCCCTCGCTCAGTGTCAACCTAGGTCTGACATGACTTGAAAGCACACAACAACAACAACAACAACAACAATCCTATCTCATCAAAGCCCTCTCGACAGAAGGCCACCCAGCCTATATCTACGAGAGTTGAACGAAAAGGGAAGGATGGAGATAAAGTGCAATAGGGATACCTTCCCCCCATCCCTATTCCATTAGGGCAGGGGTCCTGAAACTACGACCCGGGGGTCGGATATGGCCCTCCACGGTCATTTACCCGGCCCTCGCTCAGGTCTGATATGACTTGAAAGCACACAACAACAACAACAACAACAACAACAACAACAACAGGGACTGCGACCTGGCCCTCTCTTTAAAAAGTTTGAGGACCCCTGCGCAAGATAAAGGGCAGCACATGGCTCAGAGGCTCATTGTGAGCCCGGGAAGGGAAGGGAGAAGGGAAAGGGGAAGGGTTGAATGAAAAGGGATGGATGGAGGTCTTGCTTTCCTTTTAGGGGGAGATAAAGTGCAAAAGGGATACCTCCCCTTCCCATTCCCATTCCATTAGGGCAAGGGTCCTCAAACTATGGCCCGGAGGCCGGATACGGCCCTCCACGGTCATATACCCGGCCCTCGCTCAGGGTCAACCTAGGTCTCACATGACTTGAAAGCACACAACAACAACAATCCTATCTCATCAGCCAAAAGTAGGACCACACTCTCCCCCCCCATCCCCATTCCATTAGGGCCACCCAACCCTAATGCACCATCAAAGCCCTCTCGACAGAAGGCCATCCAGCCTGTATCTATGAGGGTGAATGAAAAGGGAAGGATGGAGGTCTTGCTTTCCTTTTAGGGGGAGATAAAGTGCAAAAGGGATACCTCCCCCCATCCCCATTCAATTAGGGTCATACAACTCTAATGCACCATCAAAGTCCTCTCGACAGAAGGCCACCCAGCCTGTATCTATGAGGGTTGAATGAAAAGGGAAGGATGGAGGTATTGCATTCCTTTTAGGGGGGATAAAACACAATAGGGATAGAGAAAGGGTTGAATGAAAAGGGAAGGATGGAGGTCTTGCTTTCCTTTTAGGGGGAGATAAAGTGAAAAAGGGATACCTCCCCCGCCATCCCCATTCCGTTAGGGCCATCCAACGCTAATGCACCATCAAAGCCCTCTCGACAAAAGGCCACTCAGCCTGTATCTATGAGGGTTGAATGAAAAGGGAAGGATGGAGGTCTTGCTTTCCTTTTAGGGGGAGATAAAGTGCAATAGGGATACCTCCCCCTCCTCCCATCCCCATTCCACAGCACATGGCTCAGAGGCTTATTGTGAGCCCGGGATGGGAAGGGAGAAGGGAAAGGGAAAGAGAAAGGGTTGAATGAAAAGGGAAGGATGGAGGTCTTGCTTTCCTTTTAGGGGAGATAAAGTGCAATAGGGATACCTCCCATTCCCCCATCCCCATTCCACAGCACATGGCTCAGAGGCTTATTGTGAGCCCGGGATGGGAAGGGAGAAGGGAAAGGGAAAGAGAAAGGGTTGAATGAAAAGGGAAGGATGGAGGTCTTGCTTTCCTTTTAGGGGAGATAAAGTGCAATAGGGATACCTCCCATTCCCCCATCCCCATTCCACAGCACATGGCTCAGAGGCTTATTGTGAGCCCGGGATGGGAAGGGAGAAGGGAAAGGGAAAGAGAAGGGGTTGAATGAAAAGGGAAGGATGGAGGTCTTGCTTTCCTTTTAGGGGGAGATAAAGTGCAAAAGGGATACCTCCCCATCCCATCCCCATTCCATTAGGGTAAGGGTCCTCAAACTACGGCCCGGGGGCCGGATACGGCCCTCCACGGTCATATACCCGGCCCTCACTCAGTGTCATGACTTGAAAGCACACAACAACAACAACAATCCTATCTCATCAAAGCCCTCTCGACAGAAGGCCACCCAGCCTATATCTACAAGGGTTGAACGAAAAGGGAAGGATGGAGATAAAGTGCAATAGGGATACCTTCCCCCCATCCCTATTCCATTAGGGCAGGGGTCCTCAAACTACGGCCCGGGGGTCGGATACAGCCCTCCACGGTCATTTACTTGGCCCTCGCTCAGGTCTGATATCACTTGAAAGCACACAACAACAATAACAACAACAACAGGGACTGCAACCTGGCCCTCTTTTTAAAAAGGTTGAGGACCCCTGCGCAAGATAAAGGGCAACACATGACTCAGAGGCTCATTGTGAGCCCGGGAAGGGAAGGGAGAAGGGAAAGGGAAAGGGTTGAATGAAAAGGGAAGGATGGAGGTCTTGCTTTCCTTTTAGGGGGAGATAAAGTGTAAAAGGGATACCTCCCCTTCCCATCCCCATTCCATTAGGGCAAGGGTCCTCAAACTATGGCCCGGGGGCTGGATACGGCCCTCCACGGTCATTTACCCGGCCCTCGCTCAGTGTCAACCTAGGTCTAACATGACTTGAAAGCACACAACAACAACAACAATCCCATCTCATCAGCCAAAAGCAGGCCCACACTTCCCAATGAAATATTAATAAGTTTATATTTGTTAAAATTGTTCTTCATTTTAATTATTGTATTGTTTTTAAGTGTTATTAGCACTACAAATAAGATATGTGCAGTGTGCATAGGAATTCATTCATGATTTTTTTTCCAAATGATAATCCGGCCCTCTAACACTTTGAGGGACTGCGACCTGGCCCTCTCTTTAAAAAGTTTAAGGACCCCTGCGCAAGATAAAGGGCAGCACATGGCTCAGAGGCTCATTGTGAGCCTGGGAAGGGAAGGGAAGGGAGAAGGGAAAGGGAAGGGAAAGGGAAAGAGAAAGGGTTGAATGAAAAGGGAAGGATGGAGGTCTTGCTTTCTTTTTAGGGGGAGATAAAGTGCAATAGGGATACCTCCCCTGCCATCCCCATTCCATTAGGGCCACCCAACCCTAATGCACCATCAAAGCCCTCTCGACAGAAGGCCACCCAGCCTGTAGAACAGTGTTTCTCTACCTTCCTACTGCTGCGACCCCTTAATACAGTTCCTCATGTCATGGTGACTCCCAACCATAACAGTATTTCTGTTGCTACTTCATAACTGTAATTTTGCTACTGTTATGAATCATAATGAAAATATCTGATATGCAGGATGTAGTTTCATTCACTGGATCAAATTTGGCACAAATACCCAATTCACCCAAATTTGAATACTGGTGGGGTTGCACTCCTTCTGAAGTCACAGGTCCACAACTTGGGTGTCCTCCTAGACTCATCGGATCTGGCCATGGTGGTCCACGGCTTAGTCACCTCCAGATTGGACTACTGCAATACACTCTATGTGGGGCTGCCTTTGAAGATGGCTCGGAAATTTCAATTGGTCCAATGGGCGGCAGCCAGGTTACTAACTGGAGCGACTTACAAGGAGCGGTCAACCCCCGTGTTTAAGGAGCTCCCCTGGCTGCCATTCATTTTCCGATCCCAATTCAAGGTACAGGTTCTTACCTACAAAGCCCTGAACGGTTTGGGACCTGACTACCTACGTGACTGCATTTCTGTTTACGAGCCCGTGCGATCTCTTCGATCATCAGGAGATAATAATAATAATAATAATAATAATAATAATAATAATACTTTATTTGTACCCCGCTACCATCTCCTCAAGGGACTCGGTGCGGCTTACATGAGGCCGAGCCCACAATACATCAGCAAAAACAACAACAACAATACAAAACAATAAAATGAAACTCGTAAACAAAAAGCAAGCAGTAAGCATTAATAATAGCACAACAACGCTTAAAAACCTATGGCTTTTAATGTAATAATCAAAAATTTAAAAAATAATGCTGAGCATGACCAGGTGAACTATATGACTAGGATAGAATTTCGGAGAGGAAAGGGCGTGCAGACAATCCTAGATCATTGATAAAGTGCATTTAGGGACATATTGCTGGGAGTTTCCTTATTCTGGGAAGGCACACTGGAACAACCACGTTTTCAGGCTCCTCCTAAAGACTGCCAGAGTTGGGGCATGCCTGATGTCCTTGGGGAGTGAGTTCCAGAGTTGAGGGGCCACCACTGAGAAGGCCCTCTCCTTCGTCCCCACCAATTGCGCCTGCGAAGGAGGTGGGAGCGTGAGCAGGGCCTCTCCAGATGATCGAAGAGATCATGTGGGTTCGTATACAGAAATGCGGTCACGCAGGTAGGCGGGTGGATAACGGATCTGGATCATGTTTTAGTGATGAGACGCTAGTGAATGGCTATTGGTGTTAATTGTATATTGTTGTTAATTGTATACTTTTCTATAATATGTTATGATGTTAACTGTTTTTTATACCGTGTGTTGATAGCATTGAATTTTTGCTGTTCTTGTTGTTAACCGCTGTGAGTCGCCTAAGGGCTGAGAACAGCGGTATACAAATAAAGTAAATAAATAAATAATAAATAAATAAACCTGCACCTTGAATTGGGACCGGAAAATGAACGGCAGCCAGTGGAGCTCCTTAAACAGGAGGGTTGACCGCTCCCTGTAAGTCGCTCCAGTTAGTAACCTGGCTGCCGC